TACATATTATATTAACAATATAAAGTTTATATCTATGTATATAATATATATCAAACGGAGACAGATAGGGCATGATGGCGTTTAAACGAGTTGTATGCGGGTCATAAAATAAAAGGAGACACATATAAATAATATATATATATATATAATGAGGTGTCTCCTCAGCCTGTCTCCTTTGTGTGTGGGGTGTCTGTGCTTTGTTTAGGTTTGATATATTGCGCACAAGTAGGGGGCCGTTTGTCTGCGATGTGAATGGGTTTTCGTTTGTTAAGTCAAGCATAAAATATTATGAAGACTGCAGCAGCATTATACGTTTATATTTCTTAAACAAGCTAGCATACCGTTGCTGCCGTGCTGCTCTGCATGCCCCCCTCCCCTCATCATCCGGAACAGCATCATCAGCATCAGCATCAGCATCAGCATCAGCAGCAGCAGCAGCAGCAGCGGAACAGCAGCAGCAACAGCAGCAGCAGCAACATAACCTAGAGCTATATCTCGCGCAGCAGCAGAGACGCTGTCCTCATGAAGAAGCCCGTCTACCCGATCTCTTCTGGGTGCCAGGGGGCCCCCTACCACCCCCTCATTTAGGAGAAGAGGAGACACCTCCTCAGCGTATGGCGAGGTGTCTCTGCATGGCTTTAGAGACACCTCAGGAGACAGCTGAAGTAGATGAAGAGCTGCGCACTGTTGTTGTTGTCATGCGACACGGAGACAGACGCCCTAAACAAAAATTAAAGTTCTTATCTACGCAGCCTCTCTTGCTGCAGTACTTTCAGCAGCAGCAGCACTTCAAGAAAGAAATTAAGCTTAAGAGCCCTGAGGAGTTGAGAGACCTCTTAGAGAGAAATACAGACATTATCACTGCACTTGTACGTATTTCCAGCGGCTTCGTTGCTGCTTAAGGTTGTTGCTGTTGCTGCTGCTGCTGCTGCTGATGCTGATCCTGTAGCAGAGTCAGCTGCTGCTGACGCTGCTATTGCTGCTTCTCTTTTTCCCGCTGCTGCGTTTGCTGCTTCTGCTGCTGCGCCTTCATCTCATGCTGCTGCGTTTGCTGCTGCTGGTTCTAGTGGTGCTCCTGCTGCTGCGGGTGCACGGCGTCGTTGCTGCTTACGGCTGCTGCTGCTGCTGTCACGCCCTGCTGCAGCCTCTGATTCTTTGGTGTCCTGGCGAGTCTTTTGTGCTGCTGCTGCTGCTGCTGCTGCTTGCGGTTGGCTAGCTGGCAGCAGCTCTTTTTTGCTGCTATTTCTGCTGCTGCTGCAGCAGTCTGTATGGCTGCTGCTGCGTCTCGTGAGTGCTTCGCTGTTTTGCTGTCTCCTCCTCTGCTTGCTGCTACACTGTGTGCTGAGGCTGGCGCTGCTGTTTAAGAAGAGTGAAGGAGACAGAATGGTGTCTCTTCCAGTTGATTAACTTAACAAGAGGAGACTGTCTCCTGTCTCCTTTCATGTTGTCTCTTGCTGCAGGGCCGCGAGGTAGCAGCAGCCACTCAAGAGCTGCAGGCGGAGAAGGACAACGCAGCAGCAGCAGCAGCAGCAGCAGCAGCAGGTGCTGCTGCTGCTGCAGGGGGCTCTGCTGAAGTGAGTGAGGCCCCCGCTCCGACTCCCCCCGAGGAGCCCTCGCAACAGCATCAGCAGCAAGAACGCACCAGCAGCAGCAGCAGCAGCAGCAGCAGCCCGAGTAGTGCAGCAGCGAAAAAGGAGGGACGCCTGGAGGCTTTAAAGGCAGAGCTGCGGCTGCATAAGCAGCTGCAGAAGGTGCTGCTGCAAGGAGACGGCTTTGCTGGCATTAATAGAAAGATACAGCTCAAGCCTAAGAGGTGGGTTAGAGACATAGAGCAGCAACCTGCTGTCTCCTCTTGCGGGCCTCCATCAAGGGACTCCTGCAAGCAGCAGCAGCAACAACAGCAACAACAGCAGCAGCAACAGGTGCAGCAGCAGCAGCAGGAGGCGGAGCAGCAGCAGCAAAGTCAACGAGCTTCTGCTGCTCCTCATGTCTCTGCTGGGGTTATGAGATCCTGCAGCGTACCCTTGCTGCCTACAGCCCCTGTTTGTTTGCTGTCTCCTTCTGCTGCTACTGCTTCTTTCTCTCTTGCTGCTGCACACAACATCGTTGCAACCCCGACAAGTCCTCAGACTGGCGTTGCTGCTGCAGCTGCTGCAGCTGCTGCTGCTGCTGCTGCAGTAGCCAGCTGGCAAGACAATGCACACCGTGCAGCCTCCAGCAGCAGCCCTGCAGCAAAGCAGACGCCGCCTCATGCCACCAACAGCGTCAGCAGCAACAGCAGCGCGGGGTGGGGCAGCAGCAGCAGCAGCAGCAGCAGCAGCACGAGCAGCCACAGCAGCAAGAGACTTGAGAGTTGTGTTGTTGTTGCGAAGTGGGGTGGAGAGCTAACAGCAATCGGTAGAAAACAAGCAGAGGACCTTGGCCAGAGATTTCGCTACCAACTATACCCAGGTAACCTGCTGCTGCTGCTGCTGCTGCTGCTGCTGCTTCTGGTGCTGCTGCTGCTGCTGAGGCTGAGGCTGTACCTGCTGCTGTTGTCGCTGCTGTTGCTGTGGCTGATGCTGTCGCTGCTGCTGATGCTGTCGCTGCTGCTGAATGCCTTCTGCAGCAGCATGCGCAGCAAATCCGTTTCCTCCTGCTGCTGCTCCTCGCCTGCACCCCCAGTGAGGGCTCGCAGTGTGAGAGGGACGCTGAATAATCTCTAGGGTTTAGGGTTTAGGGTTTAGGGTTTGGGGTTGTGAGAGCTCAGGAGACAGCGCGGGGCTGCTGCGGCTGCACAGCACTTTTCGCCACGACTTCAAAATTTATACGAGTGACGAGGGAAGGTATGAAAGGCACATGCTGCTGCTGCTGCTGCTGCTTTTGCGGCTGCTGCTGTTGCTGTTGTTGCTTGTCTGCTGTTTGCTGCTCTTTGCTGCTGCTTGTCTACTCTATATCTATGTATCTGTTTGCCTATATATCTGCATCTGCATATTTATATCTGTATGTCTACATGCATATATATATATATATATATATATATATATATGTCTACACCTGTATATATCTATGCATGTATATCTATGTATCTGTATATCATCTATCTACATACGTATATTTATATATATATATATTTATTTATTTATTTATATTTATAAATTTATATTTGTTTATATGTCAGGTGCCAGATAACATCAGCAGCCTTTACGAAGGGTATATATCTATATATCTATATATCTATATATCTATATAGATATATAGATATATAGATATATATACACCTATATACTTATATATATATATATAATTTTATATATGTTTATTATATGTCAGGTGCCAGATAACATCAGCAGCCTTTACGAATGCTATATACCTATATATATCTATATATCTATATATATCTACATCTATATACTTATATATATATATATATATAAGTATATATATATGTTTATATGTCAGGTGCCAGATAACATCGGCAGCCTTTACGAAGGGTTTTTTGGATTTGGAGGGGGAGCTGACCCCTATTTTGGTTGCCTTAGTAATTCACAACAGCAAAGCGTACTCTCTGCTAGACGAAGGCTCGCAGTGTGCAGGAGACAAGAGAGTAATAATAAACAATCGGCGTCTGCTGTACTTGCTGCTAATCCTGCTGCTGCTGCTGATCCTGCTGCTGATGCTGATCCTCCTCCTGCTGATCCTGCTGCTGCTGCTGATCCTGCTGCTGCTGATCCTGCTGCTGCTGCTGATCCTGCTGCTGCTGCTGATACTGCTGCTGATCCTGATACTGATGCTGATGCTGCTCAGGCGCCGGCTGCTGTTTAGGATGCTGCTGAATCTGCTGTTGCTGTGGCTGCTGCTGAACCTGCTGTTGTGGCTGCGGCTGAACCTGCTGCTGCTGGTGCTGCGGAATCTGCTGCTGCGGCTGCTGCTATATGTGCTGCTGCATTTGCTGCTATACTTGCTGTCTGATAATGCGTCTGCTGCTACACCTACTGCTACTGCTATGCCTACTCCTACTGTATCTGCTTTTGTGTTTGCTACTAAACCTGCTGCTGCTGCTGCTCGCTCTCGCGCCTGCGTGCTGATCTCCTTGCTGCACGGCCGCCCTGCTGCAGCAGCAGCAACACCGGGGAACGAGTTTGCTGTTGCTCCTGCGCTGCTGCTGCTGCTACTGCAGGTGCTGAAGCAGTGCCTCGACTTCCTCCTCAACTTAAATGAAGAACAACTCGCGGCCTTAAAGGCTCGCGTGTTGGAGCTAATAAAGCAGCGGCAGCAGCAGCAGCAGCAGCTGCAGCTGCAAGACACAGAGGAGCCGCCGGCCGCCGCTGGGGCCCCCGCAGCAGCAGCAGCAGGAGGCGCAGCAGCAGGAGAAGGGGGAGGCGAGGGACAGAACACAGGGGCTTCAGTGCAGCAGAAGGAGACAGTTTGTGTTGGGGTGTCTGCACACCGCGACGGGCGAGAGACGGAGGAGGTGTGGGGTGCTGAGCGTCTGCTGCTGGACTGCCCTGAAGCAGATATTAATCTTATCCCCACGCAGCTAGAATCGCTGCAGCAGCGGCTGCTGTCTCCAGTTGAGAAGCAAAAAGAGGTTTGCCCTACCACAATATATTAATTCAGGAGCAGCAGCAGCAGCAGCAGCAGCAGCAGCGGCATTAGCAGCTCCAGCCTTTGCAGCAGCAACAGCAAAACCTGCTGCGGCAGTGTTAGCAGCAGCAGCATCAATATGAGCAGCAGCAGCAACAAAATTAGCAACAGCAGCAGAACTAGCAGCAGCAGCATCAGCATTAGCATTAGCAGCAGCAGCATTAGCAGCAGCAGCATTAGCAGCAGCAGGAACAGCAAGGAGCAGATGCTGCATGCTTTATTTGTGTGCTGCAGATATTGAGTTTGCTGAAGCGTTTCCTAGCGTTGCTGGAGCCTCTTATTGAAGAGACAACAGCAGGAGACACCGAAGGTGCGGGCACCCCTGTCTCCTCGGCCCCGCTGTCTGTGAAGCAAGCAGCAGCAACAAAGCTGCTGGATATGAGAAGCAGATGGGAGAAGATCGCTGCCGATTGGTAACATACACAAACCCTCAAGCACGATTAGGGTTTAGGGTTTAGGGTTTAGGGTTTAGGGTTTAGGGTTTAGGGTTTAGGGTTTGGGGATATAGGGTAGAGGGCTTAGAAATGAAGGTATAGGGTTTAGGGATGGGGGGTTAGGGTTTAGGGTTTAGGTAATGGGGTTTGGGGTTTAGGGTTTAGGGATGAGGGATGAGGGATTAGGGTTTAGGGCTTAGGGTTTAGCGTTTAGGGTTTAGCCCGCAGCATGCTGGCTGTTGCTTCGTGCATGTAGCCGTGTTCAGCTTTTAGAAGTGTCTCCTTCTGTCTCCTTTTGTTTGATATTGTGCTGTCTCCTTGTGTCTTTCGGGTATCTCCTTCTGTCTGCTTTTATTTGATAATCTGTCGTCTCCTTCTGCCTTCTTTTATTTGATAATCTGTTGTCTGTCTCCTTCTGTCTTTAAGGCGTCTCGTCTCTTTTTATTTGATAATATGTTGTCTGTCTCCTTCTATCTTTAAGGTGTCTCCTTCTGTCTGCTGCTGCTGCAGGTACAAGGGGGGTCTCTTTGACAGCAGCAAAGTCTCTGATATTTTGGATTTAGTTCGATATGAGTTAATTCACCACTGCTATCTCCTCTCCCGCGACGGTACCTAAACCCTAAACCCTAAACCCTAAACCCTAAACCCTAATTGCATAATAGCAACGGCTCTAGCGAGGGGCCTTATAGCGGAACCCCTACGAGTTGCTGAGCAGACTGCAGCATTCAAATAATAAACAAAAAGGAGACAGACAGTAGGCAAGTGCCTCCTTGGGAACGGAGACAGTTCACTGGGTGGGGGAGATACATTGAAGGGGTGTTTGCTGCAGCAGCTGCAGCAGCAGCAGCAGCCTGCTGCTCAATTTTGCTGCTGCAGCGGGAGCAATACCATCTGCTGTATTGTTGTGGCAGCACGTATAGCATCTGTGCTGCAATTAGCGTTGTTGTTGTTGTTGCTGCTGCTGCTGTGTGTGGGGTTTCAGCTGTACAGACAGCTATTAGCATACACAACAGCATAAAGCAGCTGCAGGAGGCCGTTGCTGCATTTGCTGCTGCACATAGCAGCGAAGAAAAACTCCGCTTGGCTGTCCCCGTGGTTAGCAGACTCATTCGGAAGATCTTAAGAGACGTGACCTTCTTCAGGTAACAACATAGCTAGCTAGCTAGCTAACCAGCTGGCTAACTAGCTAGCTAGCTAGATAGCTAGCTAACTAGCTAGCTAGCTACGCAGGCCGCTAGCTCGCGAGAGAGAGAGGGTCGCATAGAAGAAGAGCGGGGGAGACTGCTGCTCAGTACAAATTTCTCCTTCGCAGATCGGAATAGCTAGCTAGCTAGCTAGCTAGTTCACAGCTAGCTAGCTAGCTAGTTACTTCTTAGCGTAGCTAGCTAGCTAATTCACTGCTTAGTTCGCTGGCTAGCTAGCTGAGTAGATAGTTTGCTGCGGGGTTGAGGCTGTATGTTGGTGTGTCCCCTCTGTAGAGACAGCATATTTGCTGCTGCTGTATCCGCTGTCTCTCTCCTTTCTAGGTACAGCCTGTTTGCTGCTGCTGTGTCTGCTGCAGGAGCGACGACTCGCAGCAGAAGCCGCAAGCAGCAGCAGGGAACCCCTCGTGCTTCTCTTGTAATTCTGCTGCTTGGGGTACGTCTCTAGGTGCTGCTGCAGCAGCCGCAGCAGCAGTGACAACTGAAGAAGCTCCAGATGCAAGTGCTGCTGCTGCTGCTGCTGCTGCTGGGGGAGAGGCACAAGGGACAGACGCCCTGCTGCAGAAAGGAGACAGTTCAGCAGGCGCAGGCCGCTCCCCCGCTAGCTGCAGCACTCCTGCTGCTGAAGGAGACAGCGGGTTGATTGCATTTAAAGAAGACAGAGACATCTCTTTTAGAGGGACACGTAGAGGGACAGCTACCTCCGGACCCGCCCGCAGCAGCAGCAGCGGCAGCAGCAGCAGCAGCAGCACTTCTTCCTGTCTCGGTGTCTCAGCAGCAAACAATGCTCTACGCGCCGCAGGTGGGTTGGGTTGTGGGGACAGAGACAGAGAAGGAGGAGACAGAAGGAGACAGAAGCAGAGATACATACAGACGCAGCAAGACAGCTGCACTCTGCAGCATTTGTCTCTTCGTGCAGCAGCAGCAAGAGTTTGCTTGGGATGTTTGTGTGTCTCCTCCTTCTCAGGGGAATGCCTGCAGTCTCCCCGCGGGGGAGGAGGCCCGGGGATCGTTGGGATCGTCTCGGGATCGGGATCGGGATCGGGATCGGGTGCTCCTGCGGGATCGCCTCGAGGCCGCAGCAGCTGCTCCCCACATGCACCCTCTGTGGGAGCAGCAGAAATGCGGCGGAGTCTGGAGCCCCGCTGCAGCCCTGGGGGAGGTGGTGCTACTCGCAGCAGCAGCACGCAGGGATGTTCTAGCAGCAGCAGCACGAGGGAGGCTGCAGCAGCAGCAGCAGCAGGGAAAGGCAGCAGTTGCCGCAGCAACAGCCGCAGCAGCGGCAGCTCCTTAGCCTGCAGCAGCGGCATTAGGGGCCGCGGCAGGTGTACCCCTTCAGCTGGTGCAGCAGGAAGCAGCGGTGCTGCAGCAGATCTTGCTCTTAGGCCCCCAGGTGTCTCTTGTGGGGTCGGTGGGATCGTCTCCGCAGATGCTGCTGAGGCTGTTGTTATAAACAGCAATGATCTCTGGGCTCATCAGCAAGCAGGTGGTAGAGGCAAGAAAGAAAAGGCACTGAAATTTAAAAGAGAAGAACAGGTGCAGCAGCTGCATCTCAAGCATGTACAGTCTGAGCTGAAGCTGCTGCAGCAGCAAGACACCCCAGACGCACACAGGCTCTCGACCCCGCTGCAGCAGCAGCTCCAGCAACAGCTGCAGCTGCAGCAGCAGCTCCAACAGCAGTTTCAGCTGCAGCAGCTGCAGCAGCAACTGGCTAGCAGAGACACCTCGGGACCTTCACCAGAGCTGCAGCATCCCCAGAAGCAACCCTCGACTCCAAGCGAGCTGCTGCTGCTGCAGGATCAGCAGCAGCAGCAGCAGCGCCACATGGGGGCCTCCTCGGGTCAGGCCCCCTCTACTCCTTACGAGAGCAGCGTGCTGCCTTCGCGGCAAGACTCGGAGGACCCGCAGCAGCTGCAGCAGCAGCAACAGCTGCAGCAGCAGCTGCAACAACAATTGAGCCAACAGCTCCAGCAGCAACTCCACCAGCAGCTGCAGCAGCAGCAGCAGCAGGACCCCCTGCAAACAAGAGACAGAGGAGGTGCAGCAGAGGGGCCTGATGGAGACAATATGCAAACTGCTGAGCAGCAGCAAGAAGCAGCAGGTGGGGACGAAGAGGAGGAGCACGAAGATGATGATCCTCACCAGCATGAGGTATGCTGTTGCTGCTGCTGCTGCTGCTGCTGTTTCTCTTGCGCTGTCGTCTACTGCATGGTATCCTATCCCCCAGCTTCTGGGGGCAACGCTGCTGCTGCTGCTGCTGTTGCTGCTGTTGCTGCGGTTGCCGCTGCTTCTGCTGCTGCTTGTGTGCTTTCGCATATTGCGTGACGTAACAAACTGTTTTTTGAACGGGCGCGCGTTTGCCGTTGCTGCTGCTGCTTTTGCTGCTGTTGCTGCTGCTGCTGCTGCTGCAGGTTGCTGCAGAAATTCGCTTGAAAGAGGGCGAAGCACACTTGTTTGGGATCCGATCCCCGTGGAGGATCGTCCGCAGTCGGTTTTATGTTACGAGTGCTAGCCATGTAGAGGTACGAGAACCATCTGCTGCTGCTGCTGCTGCTGCTGCTGCTGCTGCTGCCCGCTGCTGAGAGTTGGTTGTTCGCATGCATTTGCAGGGGACTGGGGCAGGGTGTGGTGTTAGAGGGTCTTGGGCGGAGCAGCAGCCTTGAGGGGAGACAGTTGGCTGTCTCCTTTGTCTCTAGAGCTTCGATGACCTGTTCTTGCTGCTGCTGCTGTTGTTGTTGTTAGTGCTGCTGCTGTGTTTAAGCTGCTGCTCTCGGTGATGCTTGCTGCTGCAGGCCCTACTCAATGTCCTTCTTCTAAGCCACAACGCTGTCGCATGCAATCCCCGCGCTGCTGCTCGTGCAGAGGCAATTAATAGAGGGGCAGCTACAGCAGCAGCACGAGCAGAAGCAGCAGCAGGAGCAGCAGCAACAACAGCAGCAGCAGCAGGCAGCAGCGACCTTCCCGAGGGAGCTTCAGAATCAAGTGCTGAGAAGAACGAGGAGGCTAAAGAACAGTTTAGGCCTATCTTTGATCGCGATCTGCGTGTATGTCTTTTTGTCTCCTTCAGTGTCTCCTTCTGTCTCCTTTGGTGTCTCCTTTTGTCTCCTTTCTTGGTGTCTCCTCCCGTCTCCTTCCTTAGTGTCTTCGCAAAGGCCTTATCGCTGTCTCTTCCTTTGCTTTTTGTCTTTGCTTTGCTCTGGAGACGGGCGGGGGCCTCCTATGTCTGGCTAGCTAGCTAGCTAGCTAGCCATCTAGCCAGACGTAGTCTCCAGTGTGTTTCGTTTCTTCTCGTATAGACGTCTTCTTTAGGCAGATGGAGGCTGCTGCTTTGTTGTCTCTGCTGCCTTGTTGTCTCTGCTGCTTTGTTGTCTCTGCTGCTTAGTTGTCTCTTTAACATGATTGAAAGAATAAAGAGACTCCCTCTTAGCTGCTGCAGGGCGGTTTACAGTTTGTCTCCTTTTGCTGTTCTTCTTGCTGTCTCTTGTGGGGTCTCTTCTTCTTGCTTGCTTTTTAATTGCGTACGTTTGTGTCTTATACTCATCTGCTGTGTCTTTGGTGTGTCTCCTCGGGTGTCTCCTTCTGTCTTTGTCTTCTTCGTTGTCTCTTCTTTGTTTCTGTCTCCTTCTGTAGAGGCATCTGTCTCCTTTTGTCTCCTTTTGTTTGCTGCGCTTCTTTAGGAGTGGCTGGGGCAGTGTGAATTACATTATCTCTCGCATATCGTTTTTAGGGTCTGGGAGAGAAGAAAGGCTAGGCCTACACCAGGTGTCTCCTCAGCTCAATGCCAGCAGCAGCAGCAGCAGCAGCAGCAGCAGCAAGAAGAGAAGGGTCGATATCGCCTGGAGATTTTTTTCAGCACAGGCGCCCGCGATGGCTTTGGGGAGAACTTTTACCTGTTAGAGCGCAAGGCGCGGCAGCAGCAGCAGCAGCAGCGGCAGCAGCAGCAGCAGCAGCAGCAGCAGAGTGTCTCCGCCCCAGCCCCTAGCGCTCGCTCGCAGCTATGGCGTGAGGTGCATCAACAGGAGGAAGATGAAGCCCGCTCTCATTCGCTGCACCCTGTTGGTGTCTCCTCTGAGGTTCAGGTGTCTCCTTCTGCTGCAGCAGAGGAGACAGCAGCTTCTTGTGGGGTCTCTTGCCCCTCAGCAGACACCGCCGGCACCGCCTGCAACAGCAGCACCACCACAACCACCACCACTACAAGCAGCAGCAGCAGCAGCAGCAGCAGCAGCAGCAGCAGCAGCAGCAACAGCGGAGGCCCCCATAGAACAGGCTGCTTCTGCAGAACCCCCTATACTAACCGCGTACCCCCCTACTGCGAGATTGCTCCTCTGCTGCCCCTCGGCCGCTCTGTTGATGTTGCAGACTTTGACGAGCTCATGACTGAAGTAATGCGGCACTTCTACCTCAACATACACCCCAATGGGGCCCCTAAAGGGCCCCATTGGGGTGTATAGGGGCCCCCAAAGGGCCTCTTTTTTGGTGTTTGTTTGAGTGTATAGTATAGTGGGCAGGCCTGCTTAAAGAGTGCTGTGTTTAGTTTATTATTTATTATATTTTATGTTGCTGTTGCTGCTACTCGGGTGTATGTGCAGGTCCTGCGGCGCTATGGAGATGCGGGGGGGCCCCAGCGAAACCGCTCTGATAAGCCGAAGGCGCAGCAAAGCTGAGGGCTTAGAGGGGCCTCTCTAACAGGAGATGCAAAAAGGGAGACTGCTTGCTGCGCCCCCTACCTAGACAGCTAGCTAGCTAGCTAGCTAGCCAGTTAGCTACGCAGCTAGCTAGCCAGCTGAGTCGGAGACTGCTACAGAGACAGACGACTTGCCGGGGCCCTCTCATGCTTGTGGTTGGTTGGAGGGCAGCAGCAACAGCAGCAGCATCTGCTGCAGCAGCAGCAGCAACAGCAACAGCAACAGCAACAGCAGGCGTTGTAACCCTGTCTCCAGGAGCGTTTTAGGTAGCAGGGGGAGGCCTCAGAGGCCTTTGGTTGTCCCCTAAGTGTCTCTGTCTCTGTTGCGGTGTACATGGAGACACCAAAGGCCTTGTATTATATCTTTGTGCATACATTCATCAGCAGCTGCTACTCTTATTTAGGAAGGAGACGCACAGCCCCAGCCAAAGGGCCTTCTGTTCTTAAGGGGCCCCACAACCTCCTCCTTTGCTGGCGTTGGGGGCCCCTTTGCTTTGTAGAGACTTCGAGCAAGGTGTGAACAACAGGGGGTTCAGTCAACAGCTAGCCAGCTGGCTAGCTAGCTAGCTACGCAGCTAGCTAGACAGCTTGCTAGAGATCTAGGCAAGCAGCTAGCTAGACAGCTAGCTAGACTCGGTACAAGGCTAGAGAAACAGTTAGCTAGACACCTGGGGATGCAGCTAGCTAGCCAGCTTGCTAGACAGCTAACTAGGCAGGTGGATAGCCTAGCTAGCTAGAAAGCTAGCTAGCCTGATAGCTAGACAGCTAGCTAGACAGCTAGCTAGCATCTAACGCCTTAGATCTGGGGAGGCCCCGTAGGAGTGGCTGCGGTGTCTGGGCCCTCTGCTGCAGCGACAGAGACGCGTACACCTTAGCTTAGGAGACACAAAAAACAGAGGAGCCGCCGCAGCGCAACAAACAGGAAGAAGAGAGAGTTACAAGGAGGCGTCTGCTGCAGCAGCAGCAGGAGCTGCACAGTGTAAAGGAGGCCCTAGTGTCTCCTTCTCAGTCTCTCTGTGGCTGAGGCTGTCTGTCTTGCTGTGTCTCTATCTCTTTGTCTCCTTTGCACCGATTGGCTTGCTGCATTGGCCGGTTAGTTGGTGTGGGGTGCTGCTGGGGGTGTCTCTGCGTCTGTAGATACTGCGCAAGAGGAAGTGTCTCCTTCACTTTGCTGTCTCCTTCTCTGTCTCCTTCTGTCTCTTTCTTTTGTCTCTGTCGCTTATTTGCTCCTTGTCTTCCTTGTAAGGGCCCGATGCTTCCCAGGTGTCTGTTTGTCTGCTGCTGCTGCCTCAAGAGCAGCAGCAGCAACAGCAGCAGCAGCAGCAGCAGAAGGGGAAGCTTGCTGCAGCTGTCCCCTTCTCTGCGTTAGAAGACTGTCCCTCTTACCTGTCCCCTGCCTGTTGTATACTGCTGCTGTCGTTCATAGGCTGTGTTTGTTGCTGGTGCTTGAGCCCCAGGGGCTGCTGCTGAGAAGGGCAGCAGCAAGCAAGGTGCTGCTGCTGCTGCTGCTAGCATGGGAGCAGCAGCAGCTGGGATCGTCTCCCTTGGGATCGC